GTGGTACGTGCTCGTCCATGCCTAGACACATGGCTTTGTCTTGTCCTGGCACCATGCTCAGCTCACCAGATGTTCCCCTGTTTCATCATGCTCCTCCAGCACTACATGTTTCAGAGGACAGTTGTGCTGTGTTAAGAGCTTCCCGCTGGCTGCTCATAATACAACCTGCACACTTTCTTTTCATTGTAATGTCTTGCTTTGTAGAGAAAGAAATGTTATGGAATAATAGTTAAATGGAATAATAGTGATTGACAATGTCATGATAAAAATAGGTCAAAGATATAAAAGACATCTGACTATGCCTGTTTGAATTAGCCTACCTGTGATCTTTCTGGGTGCAATGACACGGTACAATGGGTTACCAACCGCTTTATTGTGGTAAAGTGTTTTTTACTGTCCTCTGGGCCTCACTGGTCAAACGATCACAGGTGGACCTTGTGTAGAGGAGAATTGTCATGATAAAGGGGAAGGATACACACACAGAAACACACAAAAACACACACACACACTGACACACACATGCTAAGCTGTCCCCCTTGTCCACCCTGCCAGTCACCCACCCATCACACACACCCACTCACAAACACATAAAGTGGAGCTGTCAAATAAGGCACCGCTTGTTATGAAGGGGAAAATTCAGACTTATTAATTCAAAAATGAAGCATGCCTAGGGAGTTTTGGAGGGAGGCAGACATGAAAACGAGGAAAACTCTTCTGACAAGGAGAGGAGTAGTCTCTTTATTAATGCAAATGAGTGTGTGAAAATTCAAGGAGCTGCTAGTGGGCTCTGAGGCTCCTGCATCAGTCACATCAGCCTCCCACTCCCTAGCAGGCAGAATTAAAGCAGAGAGATCTATGAGGCCTGGGAGCATTACAGCTAATGGGCCTATAGCTAATGTAAACAGGCTCATAGGGCATGGAAGGCCTGTGACTGGCTGTCTGACATTTTCTGTGTGTATCACTGATTTCTGTTTGTTTCACAAAATGATAATAATCCCTTTCTACTTTTAACATTGGAAGTAAATGACCATGACCGGGTTTGTATGTGTTATTAGCAACTATATACACCAGCCATAAACTTTCTCAACCTTCAGTCTCTTGACCGTCGATCTACTCATGATGATTAATGATGTTGTTGTTTTTAATTTGCTTGTTTTTGTTGTTGTTGCTTTACAGCGTTTTGAGATTTCTTTATGTATTGAATAGCGCTATAAAAGTTGAATAAATTATTATTATTATTATATTAGATTGCCATATCTCTATTCTGTATTCTTCTTGAATTGAGTACTGGAGTAGAGGATCAGTGCAGTCTAGAACCTGAGCTATGAAATGCTGAGTTCACTCCTGCCCTCTAATCTATTTGAGGCTTGATGAAAGTTTAATTAGTGCCCATCTCGACCAAATACCACTGACTGTGTATGTGTGTGTGTGTGTGTGTGGCTGTGTTTTTCACCATCGGTCTGTCGGTGAGTAGTTTCAAGCTGAGCCCAGGTCTTTTTTTCTCTCTCTCTCTCTGGGCCCCACTTTATTCATGCCTGAGGGACACTGGAAGCAGCAAACAACTGCATTTTTCATCAAGGTTACTTCCTGGAGAGATGTACTCTTATGTACCTTACAGTCATGACTTTCTACGTCAACCTGTATATAACTTGCATTCTCCTGACCTGCAGTTCTTTGCAGTGAGTTGTTTGATCATGGTACTGTTAGATAGGCGAGTGTACAGTATTCTGTGTAGCTCAAGATAGGGATTTTGTTCAGGAAGTATTCGACACCCTGAAATCTATCAGAGTCTGTATGGTCTTTTTTCTCATTCAAATGGTTTGGCTGGGGAGGATTTTGTATAATAGGATGCAATGAAACTAGCTATTGCTACTGGGAATCTAGAACTGCTTAAATATGAAACTTTTTAGTTTTTACGGAAACAACTTCCCATTTACTGTATGTAAGCAGGAAATATCTAATATTTCTAATAATGTTTTTTTTGTGACCTTCATTTGCAATTCTAATTAAATCGGGCTGAATCTTTTTGGGGGACTTATAAATGCTGGATCAACACATTAGGTTTTAATAGAGGGGAATGTGCAATGTCAGTCAATTCTTTTCATTTCGGCTCCACTGCTGTTTTCCTGAATTTGGAAGTTGTAGTGCCACAAACAAGTTATCCTTCTAATATCCGTCTTCTAACCGTAGTGAAGGGATAAGATACTTTTTAGAGAGATAGCTACTGTAGCTAACCGACTACACTATAGGGCCAGTGCTGCCAGAATAACAACCTCTCCCTCAATGTGATCAAGACTGTGATGAGTGTGATGGAAAGGAGTCAGGCGCAGGAGGGTAATCACCGAATACAGAGTTTATTCCTTCGTTACACAAAATACGCTGGAATAGCGACAAGCGAAACAGGCACAGGGGAAACTATCTACCCTGGCAATACACTGTAACGGTATCTCCAACAATACATAGGCATAGGGGAAATATCTACCCTGGCAACAAAATGGTACGAGTAGCTCCACCGAGCTACACTACTCTCACATTCAGACAATCACCCACAAGGACAAGGGGGCAGAGGGAACACTTATACACAGACTAATGAGGGGATTAGAACCAGGTGTGTGTGATTGACAAGACAAGACAAATGTGATGATAATTGGGGCGGCAGTGGTTAGTAAGCCGGTGACGACGAACGCCGAAGCCTGCCCGAACAAGGAGGGGAGGCAGCCTCTGCGGAAGTCGTGACACAGACAAAGGAGATGATTGTGGACTACAGGAAAAAAAAGAGGACTGAGCTCGCCCCCATTCTCATCGACGGGGCTGTAGTGGAACAGGTTGAGAGCTTTAAGTTCCTTGGTGTCCACATCACCAACAAACTATCATGGTCCAAACACACCAAGACAGTTGTGAAGAGGGCATGACAAAGCCTATTCCCCCTCAGGAGACTGAAAAGATTTGGCATGGATCCTCAGATCCTCAAAAAGTTTTACAGCTGCACCATTGAGAGCATCCTGACTGGTTGCATCACCGTCTGGTATGGCAACTGCTTGGCCTCCGACCGCAAGGCACTACAGAGGGTAGTGCGTACGGCCCAGTACACCACTGGGACCAAGCTTCCTTCCATCCAGGACCTCTATACCAGGCGGTGTCAGAGGAAGGCCCTAAAAATGGTCAAAGACTCCAGCCACCCTAGTCATAGACTGTTCTCTCTGCTACCACATGGCAAGCGGTACCGGAGTGCCAAGTCTAGGTCCAAAAGGCTTCTTAACAGCTTCTACCCCCAAGCCATAAGACTCCTGAACAGCTAATCATGGCTACCCGGACTATTTGCATTGTCCCTCCCACCCCACCCCACCCCACCCCCTCTTTTTCGCTGCTGCTACTCTCTGTTTATTAGCTATGCATAGTCACTTTAACTCTACCCACATGTACATATTACCTCAATTACCTTGACTAACCTGTGCCCCCGCACATTGACTCTTTACCGGTACCCCCTGTATATAGCCTCCCTACTGTTATTTTATTTTACTGCTGCTCGTTAATTATTATTTGTTATTCTTTTTTACCTATCCATTTTTTTACTTAACATGTATTTTTCTTAAAACTGGATTGTTGGTTAAGGGCTTCTAAGTAAGCATTTCACTGTAAGGTCTACACCTGTTGTATTCGGCGCATGTGGCAAATACAATTTGATTTGATTTGATTTGATTTGAGTATAGCTCCAATCAAACATTATACAAATGTAAACCGCTGAACATTTATCCCACTAACTTACACATATCTGAAATATATTATTTTCTCTTGTACATTAGTAAATAAACAGAATTCTGAATTTGAGTGGAACCTGTGAGTGACTGAGTGACATACGTGGGTCACCATTATGAGATCAAATTCCATTTCAATTTAAAGGCTGTTACACAAAATATTCCACAATAGATTTATCCAACACTATTACTCCAACTCAAAGCTCTTTGGGAAGAGATTACAAAGATAGATATACGATATGTTCAAATGACAGAAATCCATCACAGTTTTATTCACATAAAGGGGCATTGGTGTAAAGAGAGGGCAAACTCCTGAGTGTAGTGTCAAGATGCAGTATAGAGGACACAGACATACACACACACACACATACAACTCATGTGGTCCTCTGTAGCTCAGCTGGTAGAGCACGGCGCTTGTAACGCCAAGGTAGTGGGTTCGATCCCCGAGACCACCCATACACAAAAAAATAATAATGTATGCATGATTGCAAGTCGCTTTGGATAAATGCGTCTGCTAAATGGCATATTATTATTACACACACACAGTACATACACACACACCACCTGCCCCATGTGACAATTACTGCCTCAACTCCTATTCAAAACTTTATGAGAAAATGGACTAATCGATTTAACTCTGGCCATAACAGGAAAGGAGTGTAGCCGTGATAGCATAGATCAACTGTCCTGCTGTTTGGTATCAAAGACATCCAAAACACCAGCTCCGGTGTTAACACAAATACTTTTTCCAAGGTTAGAACCAGGTCCTTTCATTTAAAGTAGTCTTTATAAAAACAGCACATACTATATCTGTATAGACCTAAATAAATAAATAGAGCTGTGCTGAATATCTGGTGTATCTATTTTAGGGTAAAAAGTAAGGTAAACACATTTTTATTTGGCATATTGATTTATTTGAATAAGTAATAGCCATGTGAATCTGTAGTGGAACAAGACAATGCGTTATTTCAGACAGGGGGAGTTCTGTTCCTTGTGCCATAAAAAGCGGACATCAGTAGCAGAGCTTTGGTGCCAAGCGCAATTATTTATTACATAGTCAGTCTCTATCCATCATTGTATTGCCATGGACCCCTTCCAGACCCAATGTTAACCGTCACATCTCCTTATGTTTATTGCCGCGTCCCACCTTCCCGAGAAAGATGATCGACGTTTCTACAGGAGACGGAGGTGGGACTTACGCGCTCTTCTTCTCCAATCGTGGCTCAGGGGGCGTAGGCTTTGATTCCATACTCTGGTTATGTGTCGTTGCTAGACATAAGGAAACAGTAACAGTTTACAGTTGGTGTTACTTTCAACATCTAACCCTCAGAGAGAGTGACTACATGTTCCGTCCATCAAGCTTTCGAGGAAATTGGGAATTGCATATTACGGGCTCTGCGCACGTCACTTTTGACACGATTTGAAACCATTTAAGTTGAATCTGCTTTTTTCTACAGTAGGCTAACTGTGCAGGAGTGGTCAGAGCCTAAATCAGCTATTCAGATCGGATTTCACCCAAACCAGCTGGGAGAGAGAGCGGAGAGAGAGAGCATTTGTCATTTTGCTTCCCTTCCCGATCCAGGAAAGCTTAGGCTACTAGGGAGAGAGAAAAGAGAGCGAGAGAGTGAGTGAGAGAGGAGGAGGGAGACGGGGGGTTCCAAAGGAATTTCCAAGGATATTTCTTCTGTTGCCGTAAGAAAAGTGTTGGTCAGTTGGGGGCGAGGCAGAGACCGCGGTCAAGTATGGATGAACAGCCTCGGTTGATGCACTCCCACAGCGTAGGCATGGCCGGACACCCCGGCCTGGCACAGCATATGCAGGATGGCACGGGTGGGACGGACGGAGATGGAAGAAAGCAGGACATTGGAGACATATTACAGCAAATAATGACCATCACAGACCAAAGCCTGGACGAAGCGCAGGCAAGGTACGGTGACATAGAAAATTATAATATGTTCAAAGCGTTATCAAAATAGCATGTGATTACTGTGCAATAAATGATTACTGTGCTGTACATTGTAACAATATGATGTGCATTCAGTTCAGTAGGCTATCCAACGAAAACAATTATTCCCACCCCAACGCAACAACTACTCGTAGGGGATAAAGTGCGTAACGTTAAACTCCCTTCAGTTTAACAGTCTTTGTCTTGTGAAAGTGAACTTTTATATTAACAGTGTTATCGAAAATGTTTTAATGTTAAAAATGAATGACATTATTAAGCTACTGCAACTAAAGCTATTCTGAACTGTGGAGCGGGGTGCATCCAAATCGCCTTATCTTGTTACAAATGAGATTACTCAGTAATTCACCGCCGTAATACATGTTGCAGATGCATTGCTTTTGGATACTTTGTTTCTTTTTAGCCAATGGCAATAAGGATTATCAAAGCACCAGTGCTGTGCGTCGAAATTGAGCCAATGACATCTATTCACATGCTCCTGTGCAAGAATAGATTACATAGGATAGACTGGGTCCTATTCATTACTGACATCCCACTGTGTTTTTAAATCGCAATGACCCTTCCATGTTAATAAATCATAGTTAATTAGGAATCAAGTGTAGTGGCACAACAAGGGTTCCAAATGTGGTTTGATGAGACAAAAGTATTTTCTCTATTGAAGAATAACACTATGCTATACAATAGGTATTTAGTTTAGATCACTTTGATTGAAGGGTTGATTGGTCGAGTGTGTAAAATCAGAACAAATATGCATTGTCAATAACAATAGCAAGGAGGAGCTTTATTGTTCATCATTAAATTGACAGTGATCAAACCAGTCTGCTGATTTTAGATATGATACAAGCACATGCAGAACACTTTACCACGAACTATTACCATCTCCTCATCTTATTGAATATGGTATAAAGTTGTGTCTTTTCCCTTTTTATAGGAAACATGCACTGAACTGTCACAGGATGAAACCGGCTCTCTTCAACATCTTGTGTGATATAAAAGAGAAAACAGGTAAGGTGAAATTCTACCACATTAAAACAATGACTTTTTATTTTTATGAAGTAATTATGGCCAGGACAACTTATAGCCTACACTATTTATAACACCATCTTTTGAATATTAGAAATATTGATATTACATTTCTCTACATATGTACAGTATGTTCAGGTGATCACCCCATAGTTTAACAAAATGGTTCTTACAATGCAACATGATGCTTTGTGCCATCCTACTGTATCTACATTTATTACCACACAACCAAACAACCTTATGTGTGTCAGTCAGTATTTGTATTTATTATGGTGAGCCATAGCAGACACACACATTCAGAACAGACAGTAGAGATGAAAGGACTTTACAGTAGGACCAAGGTGTTGTCATTGAGACATTTATTAGGGCTGTACTTATTCGATCTGTTCTGTGTCATCATGTTTTTCCTTGCCAAGTGTGATGCTGTTTGTTTGTGATGAGCTGTTAGAGTTTCTACATGCTGATGCTGGCCAGAGGGATTCTCTCTGTTTGGGTTTGAAGCGACGGTCAAAGCATGTAGAGGAATGTGGGAAATAAAGGCACTTAACACAAGATTAAAATAAATAAGCGCTTGTCTCTGTTTATGAAAGAAAGCATGTGAATATGCTTGGAAGAACAGTCTAAGTTCTAGCCTACTAAATATTTATTTTTAGAAAATGGAAATCAAACTGCGATCTCTAATACATCTCTCTGAAGGCATATATCTCTGAACATGCCTTTTAACAGGATCCTCTTGAAAATATTAGAGGATGTTATCACTTGCTCTGACTTTAAAGTGAGAAGTGTTACCAGCTACTATCATGACTGTCTATAACCAGCCAGAGAAATACGAAAACAAATGGAAGATCAGTAAAATGAGTCTGTCGTATCGTCTTCCTAATTTGCCCTAAAGGCTAATTTACGGACATTTCATTACTGTGAGTCAGACTCTGGCACAGGGCTTAAAAAAATAGGTGTTATTAACAGAAGACACTGTGTGATTTTCATTTTAGAAACAAAAGGGAGAGAAGGAATTAAGTCCAGTCTGAGAAGTAGCCAGTGAGATTGAAGTAGCCAGTGAGATTGAAGTAGCCAGTGAGAATGAAGTAGCCAGTGAGATTGGACCCCTGCCCACGGCCCCCTTACTTCTCAGGAGGAGAATGCTTAGAGCAGGGAGAGAATTATGCCTGGCTCTTTTTAAACTGCCTGGCGTCGCTCGGGGTTCAACCAGAGTTCGTTTCCAAAATGAAGAAGAACAAAGTGACTTGGCCTTTTTCCTGCCCCCCCCCCCCCTCACCCCCTCCTCCCCCTTCCCTTCTCTGCTTCTCTTCTCTTCCCACTGTTCCTGGCAACGAGGAACCTGGGGGCTTCTGACTAGAGCAGCTCTCTTGGCCTGCTAACTCTCTATGTCTTAATTTAGAGGGGGAAAATGGTGTTGAAGGTAACGTTTCAACATAGATTTCTGTAGTTTTTGTTGTTGTTGTTTTCTACTCCTTTTTCTACTATCGTGAGTGAATTAAATTTGGGTAATGTTTTGGCCTCTGTCGAGTGTTTAGCCTCCTTTGACATGGTTTCAGTTGGTCGGGCGAAATTCAATGTACTTTGGCCCTCAGGATAAAAGCACCATGGGGGAATCCCTTTTGAAGAGTTTACTGATTTACACCCCCCCCCCACCCCCCCTTTCTGTTTTGGTGTTACTCGAGCACTGCATGCCTTGTGTTCAAATCAAATCAAATTGTATTTGTCACATGCGCCGAATACAACAGGTGTAGACCTTACAGTGAAATGCTTACTTACAAGCCCTTAACCAACAATGCAGTTTTAAGAAAAATAAGTGTTAAGTAAAAAATAGATAAGTAAAAAATTTAAATAACAAATAAATAAAGAGCAGCAGTAAAATAAAATAACAGTAGGGAGGCTATATACAGGGGGTACCAGTACAGAGTCAATGTGCGGGGGCACTGGTTAGTTGAGGTAATTGAGGTAATATGTACATGTGGGTAGAGTTAAAGTGACTATGCATAGATAATAAACAGAGAGTAGCAGCAGCGTAAAAGAGGTCGCCATGATTAGCTGTTCAGGAGTCTTATGGCTTGGGGGTAGAAGCTGTTAAGAAGCCTTTTGGACCTAGACTTGGTGCTCCGGTACCGCTTGCCGTGCAGTAGCAGAGAGAACAGTCTATGACTAGGGTGGCTGGTGTCTTTGACAATTTTTAGGGCCTTCCTCTGACACCGCCTGGTATAGAGGTCCTGGATGGCAGGAAGCTTGGTCCCAGTGGTGTACTGGGCCGTACGCACTACCCTCTGTAGTGCCTTTCGGTCGGAGGCCGAGCAGTTGCCATACCAGGCGGTGATGCAACCAGTCAGGATGCTCTCAATGGTGCAGCTGTATAACTTTTTGAGGATCTGAGGACCCATGCCAAATCTTTTCAGTCTCCTGAGGGGGAATAGGCTTTGTCGTGCCCTCTTCACGACTGTCTTGGTTTATTTGGACCATGATAGTTTGTTGGTGATGTGGACACCAAGGAACTTAAAGCTCTCAACCTGTTCCACTACAGACCAGTCGATGAGAATGGGGGCGTGCTCAATCCTCTTTTTTTGTCCTGTAGTCCACAATCATCTCCTTTGTCTTGATCACGTTGAGGGAGAGGTTGTTATCCTGGCACCACACGGCCAGGTCTCTGACCTCCTCCCTATAGGCTGTCTTATCGTTGTTGGTGATCAAGCCTACCACTGTTGTGTCGTCGGCAAACTTAATGATGATGTTGGAGTCGTGCCTGGCCATGCAGTCATGGGTGAACAGGAAGTACAGGAGGGGACTGAGCACGTACCCCTGAGGGGCCCCCGTGTTGAGGATCAGCGTGGCAGATGTGTTGTTACCTACCCTTAACAGCTGGGGGCGGCCCGTCAGGAAGTCCAGGATCCAGTTGCAGAGGGAGGTGTTTAGTCCCAGGGTCCTTAGCTTAGTGATGAGTTTTGAGGGAACTATGGTATTGAACGCTGAGCTGTAGTCAATGAATAGCGTTCTCACGTAGATGTTCCTCTTGTCCAGGTGGGAAAGGGCAGTGTGGAGTGCAATAGAGATTGCATCATCTGTGGATCTGTTGGGGTGGTATGCAAATTGGAGTGGGTCTAGGATTTCAGGGATAATGGTGTTGATGTGAGCCATGACCAGCCTTTCAAAGCACTTTATGGCTACAGACGTGAGTGCAACGGGTTGGTAGTCATTTAGGCAGGTTATCGTAGTGTTCTTGGGCACAGGGACTATGGTGGTCTGCTTGAAACATGTTGGTATTACAGACTCAGTCAGGGACATGTTGAAAATGTCAGTGAAGACTCTTGCAAGTTGGTCAGCGCATGCTCAGAGTACACGTCCTGGTAATTCGTCTGGCCCTGCGGCTTTGTGAATGTTGACCTGCTTAAAAGTCTTACTCACTTTGGCTGTGGAGAGCGTGATCACATAGTCATCATGAACAGCTGATGCTCTCATGCATGCTTCAGTGTTGCTTGCCTCGAAGCGAGCATAGAAGTGATTTAGCTCGTCTGGTAGGCTCGTGTCACTGGGCAGCTCGCGGCTGTGCTTCCCTTTGTAGTATTTAATAGTTTGCAAGCCCTGCTACATTCGACGAGCGTCGGAGCCGGTATAGTACGATTCAATCTTAGTCCCGTATTTACTCTTTGCCTGTTTGATGGTTCGTCAGCGGGCATAGCGGGATTTCTTATAAGCGTCCGGGTTAGAGTCCCGCTCCTTGAAAGCGGCAGCTCTACGCTTTAGCTCAGTGCGGATGTTGCCTGTAATCCATGGCTTCTGGTTGGGATATGTACGTACGGTCACTGTGGGGACAACGTCATCGATACACTCATTGATGAAGCCAGTGACTGATGTGGTGTACTCCTCAATGCCATTGGAAGAATCCCAGAACATATTCCAGTCTGTACTAGCAAAACAGTTGTGTAGCTTAGCATCTGCTTCATCTGACCAATTCCTTATTAACCGAGTCACTGGTGCTTCCTGCTTTAGTTTTTGCTTATAAGCAGGAATCAGGAGGATAGAATTATGGTCAGATTTGCAAAATGAAAGCGTCTCTGTGTGTTGAGTAAAGGTGGTCTACGTTTTTTTTACCTCTGGTTGCACATTTAACATGCTGGTAGAAATGAGGTATAATGGATTTAAGTTTCCCTGCATTAAAGTCAACGGCCACTAGGAGCGCTTATTAAGATATTACAGTTTTTAATCTCCCGTTGGTAGGATGTCCTTGATCGTAGGTCGTCCATTTTGTTTTCCAATGATTGTACTTTAGTGAATAGGACTGATGGAAGAGGCAGATTACTCGCTCGCCGTCGGATCCTTACAAGGCACCCCGACCTACGTCCACTATTTCTCTGTCTCTTTCTCATGCGAATGACAGGGATTTGGGCCTTGTCAGGTGTCTGTAGAATATCCTTCACGTCCGACTCATTGAAGAATAAATCTTTGTCCAATATGAGGTGAGTAATCGCTGACCTGATATCCAGAAGCTCTTTTTGGTCATAAGAGATGGTGGCAGAAACATTATGTACAGAATAAATTACAAATAACGCGCAAAAACACACATAATAGCACAGTTGGTTAGGGGGCCGTAAAACCGCAGCCATCTCCTCCGGTGCCATTTACAACAAAGTTAACTGAGTTCTATGATTTCTCTCGTTGTTACTTTTTATCTGGATGCCTTGTCACGTAATACTGATATCATGAGCTCAGCTATGAGCTGTGCTTCTCTCAGTGAATGAAGATGTGCTATCAGCATGTGGCTAAAGTATTTTAGTGCAAAAACAGAAAGCTTTGTTATTTGGATGAGGTTTATCCAAATAGAATAAAAAGACCTAAGACCACTTGGTATCACACTATTCCTTCTATATCATTTCATCTAGTTGCTGTTCATCTTGTGTGCATAGATAGTTTCCCCCCTGTGCAGAACAGACAGAAGCCCAGAAATCCACTGCAGCGACAGTAGAAAATGACT